TATCATACCCCCTCCCTCCCTTAATCATCTCTTTTCTAAGATGAACAGTCCCAGTTTTTTTAATCTCTCCTCATGTGGAAGCTGTTCCATTTCCCTAATCATTTTACTTGCCCTTCTCTGCACCTTTTCCAATTCTAACAGAACTTTTCTGAGACAAGCTATACATGAAGGGACAGACTGTAAAAATACTTCTGAAATACTGTTCCATTTCTTTTTGAAAGTGACTTCTCAAAAACAGCTTTGTTTGGGATTATGTAAATCCAAGGATATTGTGCTGTCACTTTATAAAGCATTAGTTAGACCACTTTTGATGCACAGTGTCCAGTTTAGGACCTTTTATGTGAAGAAAGATGTAGCTTAGCTACAGAAAGCACAGCATTTGAGCAGAAAATTAGATGCTTAAGTGGAATTAAATAAACTGAAGAGATTTTAGTTTTATACTTGGGAATAGCTGACCTTCTTATGGACGGGGGATATGTGGGGGGGGAATCAGAAGGGAAATTTTTGCTCAGCATATTTTCCTCCTACACATGCCCAGCCGAGATTCGGTATGCACTATTCCCATGGAAGAGTCTTTTTGTTCTCCTGTGACCCAAAGAGTTAAAAGTTAAAGAGTTTGTTTCAGTAACAAAACGTGAGGCAGCTTTCACCGAACTTTTATATAATCTAAGGTATTTATCTAGCCCCAATTACCATAATACCTGAGAACCTCACAATCTTTAGTGCAGTAACGTATGAGGGGAAACTGAGGCACAGAGCGGTTAAGTGACTTGCTCAAAGTTACACAAGAAGTCTGTTGCAGAGCAGAGACTTGAACCCAGGTCTCAGGCTAGGGCCCTAGCCATTGGACTACTGAGAAGCTATCTCAACAACATGACAAAGTTGGTTGGGCTCTATGTTAATACACAGCATTGAACAGACTGCTGTGTCCTGAACAAAAGCTGGCATTTGTGCTGATCAGTGTGAATCATTACTTCGAAGTTAGCTGGCCCTCCACGCATTCTTCTCATTAATATTTCATTAGCTTTAGTCCTGCAAAGTCCGTGGGCAATCAGGGTGCCTAGGGGGTTGTGCGTGTGAGAGAATCCCATCTAATACTAGTTGATAGCAGTCTGCCTTTTGGGTAGACATGACTAACCCTGCTGTGCGCTTTCTTTGCCTTCAACAATTCCCTCAGATAGAGTGGGTAAGCAGATCCTCTGACTACTGATGCCTCCAGGCTGCAGGTCTTATTCCCAACATGGCCACCTAGCTAAAGAATTAACATAATTTAAAATTATTAGACTGACCACCTTCTGTGATCCAAGACAGCAATGGAAAAGTACAGATTCCCAGTTTTCCTCTGCAAACAAGTATGCCTGAATCCAAGACTGAAGTTCAAGATGGCATTTGAATATCAGCAATCTAAACAGGATGACCTCTTGGTGACCTCTGATGTACAGGTCAATGTCCTACACTTAGAGCACAACTCCTACACAAAGTTCTAAAGAACTGAATAGTAAATCACCACCACATCTTTGGAACCATCCTCTAGCATTTAATTATAACACTACTGTAGAATTCCATAGGCTAGTCCAAAACCCTGCAGGAATGAACTCATTCTCTATTACATTTCAGATGTTTATAGAACAGGTTTTATAGAGCCCCATTTCTATTGCCACAATTAAGTTCTCCAGGGCTTTTTGAGAAGAAAAAGTAAATCTACCCAATTCTAAGATTCCAGCTCAACTGTACCATGGAAGAGATTCAGGACCATTGCATGCAGTAGGAACACCTTGAAAGCGTCAAGTCATTCAAGGGGCAAATCAATTCTCTGCCACAGTCTTCACGGCAGAGGATATGGGGGATATCAGAGCTATCCTTTATAGGTGTCAAATCTGAAGTATTGTCCCACACTGAGGTATCAATAGAGGTGGTTTTGGAACAAATTGATAAATTAAACAGTAATAAGTCACCAGGACCAGATAGTATTCACCCAAGAGTGCTGAAGGAACTCAAATATAAAATTGCAGAACTGTGGTATGTAGCCTATTGCTGAAACAAGCCTCTTGTACCAGATGACTGGAAGGTAGCTAATGTAACTTTGATTTTTTAAACCGAGTCCAGAGGCGATCCTGGCAATTACAGGACAATGGGCCTAACTTCAGTACTGGGCAAACTGATAGAAACTAAAGAATAGAATTATCAGACATATAGATGAACGTGATTTGTTAGGGAAGAGTCAACATGACTTTTGTAAATGGAAGTCATGCCTCACCAATCTATTAAAATTCCCTGAGGGGGTCAATTAGCACATGGATAAGGGTGATCCAGTCAATACAGTGTACTTGGATTTTCAGAAAGCCTTCAACAAGGTCCCTCATCAAAGGCTCTTACAGAAACTAAGTAGTCATGGGATAACAAGAAAGGTCCTTTCATGGATCAGTAACTGGTTACAAGATAGGAAACAAAAGGCAGGAAGAAGTGGTCTCTTTTCACAATGGAGAGTGGCAAACAGATGGGTTCCCCAAAGAGCTGTACTGGGACCTGTGTTGTTCAACATATTCATTATTATTTATCTGGAAAATAGAGTGAACTGTGAAGTGGTAAAATTTTCAGATACAAAATTGTTCAAGATAGTTAAGTCCAAAGCTGACTGTGAAGATTTACAGAGGGATCTCACAAAACTGGGTGATTGTGCAACAAAATGGTAGATGAAATTCTACACTGATAAGTCTAAAGTAACGCACACTGGAAAAAATAATAATCCCAGCTGCATATTATATATAATGATGGGTTCTAAATTAGCTGTTACCACTCAAAACAGATCTTGGAGTCACCATGGATTGTTCTCTAAAAACTTCAGCTCAATACACAGCAACAGTCAAAAAGGCTAACAGAATGTTAGGAACTATTAGGAAAGGGATAGAAAAGACAACAGATATCATAATGCCACTATATAAATCAATGGTGCACTCACACCTTGAATACCGTGTCCAGTTCTGGTCACCCCATCTCAAAAATAATATGATGGAATTCTAAAAGGTTCAAAGAAGGGTAACAAAAATGATCAAGAGCATGGAATGACTTCCATATAAGGAGAGACTAAAAAGATTAGGGCTGTTCCGTTTAGAAAAAAAGACGATTAAGGGTGGTTATGATAGAGGTCTATTAAAATCCTGGTAAGGAAAAAGTAAATAGAGAAGTGTTATTTACCCTTTCCCACAATAAAAGAAACCAGCGGTCAATCGATGAAATTAAACAGGCAACAGGTTTAATACAAACAAGAGGAAGTACTTCTTCACACAACACACTATTAACCTGTGGAACTCATTGGCAGGAGATGTTGTGATGGCCAAAAGTATAATTGGGTTAAAAAAAAAGAGCTAGATAAGTTCATGGAGGATAGGCCCCTCAGTGGCTATTAGCCAAGATGGTCAGGGATGCAACCCCAAAATCTGGGTGTCCCTAAAACTCTGACTGCCAGAAGCTTTTTTAACAAAGTATACAGGAGTGCGACAGATATGGCAATTTCCTGTAATATATTTGGGAGATCTTACTGAATTAAAGTTTAGGTAGCTTTGGAGTCCGTTATACCATAAACCCCAAAGTCTTATTGTGGGACTGTATGCAACTGCTCTGGAGGGAGATGTGACCAGTGTAAACCCTAGGAAGTGGTAGGAGCTTCAAAGCACTACAGTATTTTAAACAAGTGCCAGACAAGGAGACACTTTTGGAGCAAACAAAGTTGAGTGGGTTTCTTAGGAAATACCCAGGAGGAGGTGAATGCAAATTCCCACCTCCGGACCCAAACTTTTGAAGCTATGCCCCGTGGAGAAACCCACTGTCTGCTGATTACCTACTCCTAGAATCTGAAGATCAAAGTCCTGAGCTGCATAAAGGAGGGGGTCACAGATTTTTGGGTGTGACTGTTCTGAACTGAAGCTGTTCTGAACTTGTGACCACAGAAAACCCCCTTTGTGGGGTGAGAATGGCTGATCACCTGCCAGAACCCTTTTGGAATTGGGGTGTTTTCTGGGAAGCTTATTAGCATGCAAGTAGGTCCTTTTATTTTTTAATGTGTTTTTCTGTAATGCTTTCACCTTAAGAATAAATGTGCTTGCTTAGAAAGGGCTGTGTGGTAACTTATAACTAGTGGCAATTACACTGCGTACAGCCTCAGAGGAGAAAGCAAAGCAGCCTTGCTTAGGCAGTCTGACTTGCTGGGGAGCTCGCAGTGTAGGTAGGGAACTGTGCAGCCTGGAAAAAACCCAGTCAGGAGAGAGACCCGCAGGTCTCTGCCCAGGAGAGATGGCTGAAGAGCCTGGAGTCTAGAGTGGGTGCCCATGATGGACCACAAGGGGGAAATTCAGGTGCAGTTGCCCTGAACTGTGACAAGGCGGGATAGAGCTATCAAGCCATTGCAGACATGAAGGATCCATGGCTGGCTTCCACTCCTGTGCTACTATGTATCAACAGATGGGGTGGAGAGCACATGGGGAGGGAGAAGAGACTTCCCATCCTAGGAGAGATCCTTTAAGAAAAGCGATCATTTGGACCAAAAACGAAATCATCAAGGGACTTTAAGGAAATGGCAGATCAAAGAAAAGAAAACTCCGTTTGACACTGAAAGCCTGGAGATAAACTAGAGTTAGAGTTACTTCACTAGATGGTAGCTCAGTTCTATCGTTTGTTTTTCTGGAGAAGAGAATGAAAGAATGGACAAGTGGACTACTTGGAAACCAATGAGACTGTAAGATTATGGTATACTATGGTAACAAGCACCTCAAATATCCAAGCTAAATTTATGAAAAATGAACCAGTCAGCTAGAAAAAAAACTTGCATAAATTGTCCATTTCACCATAGAAACTGTGCAAAACTAAAATCTATCCCTTTCCCAAACCAATGAGCTGCCTGCTTGTTATCACTTTGCAATGTAGGTTAACTTCCTCCCTAGGGCCTCATTTGTAACCTGGCCCATTTTTCTGTGGTCTATCATCAACAAGGATACAACCTGTACCTTTTTTTTTTTCTTTGAAGAATTCTCAGCATGGCTGGACTTTTTATCACCGTCATATTCTGCTGTCTCCTCCTCCTCCTCCGGTATCAGACTATACTTGGTTCCCCCAGGCTGCATGAAACACTCTTTGGCAAAATGACCTGCAAAACGACGTTTGAAATGGGAGAGAGCAAAATGAATCCCCCTTTGTGGGCTATTTCTTTTGAGGAGCACAATGAAGATTCTACTTGGAGCCCATTTCCATGGTGATTACTTCAGTCTGTTGATCTTAAAATAAAATATCCTTTGAAGTGATAGAATGCCTTCTTAATACCAAGTGAGCATTGGGCTGCTCCCCTCTATCTGCTGTGAGAGCTAAGGTAAGACACTTCCCTCCACTGTGCTTTTGTTCCTCCTCCCAGCCTTCGTTTAGACAAAGCTCTCCAGGGCAGGGACAGTTTCTAGCGCTAGTACAATGGGGTGCTGATCTCAGTTGGGGTCTCTAGGTGCTATTATAATACAAAGAATAATTAAGGCTATGATTTAGTCATGGGTATTTTTAGTAAAAGTCATGGACAGGCCATGGGCAATAAACAAAACTTCATGGCCCGTGACCTGTCCATGACTTATACTAACAATACCTGTGATTAAATCTTGTGGGGGGAGAGGTGCTGGCGAGGCGTGAAGGGCCTGCTGCCGCTCTGGCCAGCTTGCCGGGGCCGCAGCCGCTCCAACTGGTTTGGCTGTACACGGGGCTGCTCCAGCAGCAGCTGGTGTGGCTGTTCTGGTAGCTGCCAGAGCGGCTGACCCTGGAGCCAGCTGTTTAGGTCAGCCACACTGGCCCCTGCAGAAGTCCCGGAGATGGTGGAAAGTCCCGGAATCCATGATTTCCGCGGCCTCCAGGACAGACATGGAGCCCTAAGAATAATAAATGAACTTGCTCTTCACAGTTGGAGCCCTTTGAAACTGACCAACACTAAAGATAATGAAGGTGACCACGACATACATTTGTTTTTGTTTTGCTCATCAATTTGAACTTATATTCGTATGTCCAGGCTACATTCTCTACAAAGGGACAGATGGAAGATGCTGTCATCATGTTATTAAAAATCCATCACTATTTCAAACTCCATTCAGTGGTCGTTGCCTCTCATTCGAGGTTGCAACTTTATTGTATAGCTCTAAACGTCCCAGCAGGAGGCAGGAATGAGAGAACTTAGGCCCCATGAAAAAAGCAGAGTTTCAGGCAGATGACTCAGTGGATAGGACACTAGAATAGGACTTAAGTCCTGCGTTCTGTTCCTGGCTCTGCCACTGGTTTGCTATATGACCTTGGGAATGTCATTTCACCTCTCCATCTCTGTTTCCTCATTTGTAAAATGGGGATAACAGTGCTTCACAGAGATGGATGAGCATTGAGATAACTGGGCCAAAAGAGAGAAATATTAAATATGTTTGAGAATTATTTTTAAAATATGCTTTGGTTAATTTACAATTAATTGTAGCCAATTTTTTGTGTTTATATATTTTATAGATATATAAAATTCAGTATTTTAAAATACTTGGAAACTGGGACCAGAAGTCAGTCCCGATTTGTCTTGTAAGACTAAAGATGGTGGTTTCTCATTTCCGACATTTAAATCACTGTTTTTTCTTAGATGCAGCAGTGACAATCTCCTGTTACAATGCTTGTTTCCTTTAATGTTCGACTGGTTTAATCTGCACTGATTAACCAACCCAAGGTACTGAATAGAACACAGGTCACTTAAGAGGGATTAATCAGACAAACCCAGTGTCCTGGTGTCTGAACAAAGAACTATGGGAGAGACTTATCTGCGCAGGGGCTTCAACAGCAGAAGGGGCATATGGCAGAGGGAATAAGCCCATGTCAGGGAAGCCCTTCACGAGAATGGGAATGTCTTTCCAGCCAAGCATCTTAAGTAGGCTTATAAGGATTCGATTTTTTTAATCAGTGTCAATTTTACTGTACACACACAAACCAATGAAAAAAATATTTCCACTGATAATAATGAAACAAAGATAGGCAAAGTAAGAAAAATGCTGCATGAGAACTCAGTTTGATTTAAGGATATTTTGTATATTTTGACAGGCGATGTCGACAATTTGTGTTCAAAGGTTAATAAAGCTTTCCCTTTTTGAATCTCAAAGTCTACTGCCATTAAATAATTGTCTGATGCCCCCACAATTTCTGACAACTGAAAATTTAAATGGACAAAAATAAAAATACTTAAAAAACAAATATATATGATCAGTCGAATTAAAAAATAATCATCAAATTCTGGCAAGCCATACAGAAACAATTGCTTAGTTTGGGAAATTAGCCTCATTTTGGATCTACCCTGCACACATCAATGGCTGAACTCGAAAAATAGTTCCTGCCAACACATCTTGCCTAGCCAATTTGGACCAGACAAAGCCATTTTTAAAATAATGCTTTAAAACCATTACCATAGTTAGGAATCTAGTTTAGAAAATGGTTTTTAGCAGCATTTTCAAGATGGTTGTGTGCAGTCCATACTGGACAGGTAACTATATTTAGCATCAGCAGAAACTGCTTTTAAATGTGTACTCATTAAGCTTTCTTAGCACAGTTTAAAAGTCCAGCATAACTATTAGCCAATGACCATGTAATATATGAGAACAAATAGGGCATGGTACAAATTCCACAGGCAAAATACTTAATTAGGACTAAGGTTGCTCAAATATATGACCCATCAACCAAATCACTATATGTTAAAGAAACCCCCAGTTAAGCCAAGATTCACTTCCATACAACTCTCATATCTAGGCTTCGCAGAATTCAATATAATTTTTTTTATGATTTTGACAGATATATTTTTATGCATTTTCCTATTTTTATCAATTTAAATTTTCACAGTTCTGAAACCCCATCATTTTGCAGAATTATTTAATAGTAGATGCTGAGATTCAAAAAGGCAAAGCTTTATTAACTGTTGAACACAAACTGTGAACTTCACGTCAAAATATGCAAAGTATCTCAGACTCAGACTAAGGACAGAAAAAGGCATCATAATCATCTAGTCTGACCTCCTGCACATTGCAGGCAACAGACCCTCGCCCACCCACTCCCGCAATAAACCCATAACCTCTGGCTGAGTTACTGAAATCCTCAAATCATGGTTTAAAGACTTCAATTTACAGAGAATTCACCATTTACACTAGTTTAAACCTGCAAGTGACCCTTACCCCATACTGCAGAGGAAGGTGGAAAACCTACAGGGTCCCTGCCAATCTGACCCGAAGGAAAATTCCTTCCTGACCCCAAATATGTTGATCAGTTAAACCCTGAGCATGTGGGCAAGACGCACCCAGCAGACATTCGGAAAGAATTCTCGGTAGTAACCCAGAGCCTCCCCACCTAGTGTCCCATCTTCAGCTGTTGGGGATTTTTGTTACTGGCAGTTGCCGATAGGCCATGTGCCATCGTGGGCAGTCCCATCCTGCCATCCCCTCCTTAAACTTATCAAACTCAGGCTTGAAGACTGTTAGGTTTTTTGTCCCCACTCTCCCTTGGAAGGCTTAAACTCATTTTCACACAGGATCTTAATTTCTTTGCCTATCTATAAGTTTCATTAACATAGATGGAAATCTTTTGTGCTGGTCTGTGTGTGTTTGGTGAAATCAACGTTTACCAATAAAAAAAAATCTCATCCTTCCAAACTGACTTATCTCACACACATTAAAACTGAGTGTCTGGGTAGAGATTCTAACACAGAACTGCTCGCAAGCATGCATTCAGTTCCTAGTAGCAGATGGAACTAAGTAGTTCCATTGGCTTTTCTTGAAATAGCAAGCAGTTAGGATGAATTAAGGAAATAATAGTTTTTCTGTTGAAGTGTAAAATTAGAACAGTATCCTTGCTGTGAAATGCAATGTGTGTGAGACAGAAAAGTTTGGAATGTGTAGCGACGGGTTCTTTAGCTAGATGAAGTTCAAAAGAGCATGGCTGTGAGAATCAAGTCTTTAAGAATGAGCATTTCTAAATGTTTCCTCTGCAATAGTTAGAAATTACAGAAATTTCAGTTGTCCTCTGAAGAGTTAAGTTTGGAGACCTAAATTCAATCTTTACAGCGAGAAAAAAAACGGGTAGCATGCTTTAACTGAATATATCAACGCAGCCATAACTGCAGAGTCACTACTGATACCTCCATAATGAAGGTCAAGACAAAAAACTAGAACAATAGAACAAGAATGGAAACAGCACAAATGTACCTTTGCAACCACATTTTTTGCAGACAGTGTTCAAGACAGCTTCCAGGGTAATCTTCTGACTAGTGTAGTCTCTGAATGAACGTTTCTTCCGCTCATCCTGACTGTGGAAAGAAAAGAACTATTTTTCTCCTCCAATCTGCATCACCTCTAACCCCATGCATTTACTTGGAAGCTCAGACCAAAGTTTTCAAACATGGCTGCCTGAAGTTAAGCTTTTAAATCCATAGCTAGACATCTAAATAAAAGTGACTATTCTGCAGAATGCAGTTGACTACTTGGTGGAGGAAGCCACAGACAGCATATAACACTTGCTCCCTATTTGTTTCTTGGTATAAGAGGACTCACTTCAGAGCCAGCTTCACAGAATACAGGCAAACACACATAGCCAAAGTATAAGGCCATCACACTCAAAGCTAACGCACAGCTGCCCTATTTACACTAATATATACATACACGTAATGTACCCAAACATATGCCTGGGATAAAATAATTATTTTTGATGGAGTAGTAAAATGTCATCACAATAAAGGGCAGGCGAGGAGATTTTGTGCCTGGGATGGTAAGTGTTTGGACAATTCTGCAGGGCTGTAAACTCACAAGAAATAAATACACCCCCAGCACAGGAAGAAAGATTGCCATGGCGAGGTCATTATGAACAGCATGTTTTGTTAGCATGCTGAATTTGGTATTCAAATGCAGTCGTTTGCTGACAGTGCTGCAGAGGGAACATCTTAGATTGTTCTTTAGTGACCCCTCCATTCGCTTCAGAGCGGCACTGATGGGCTCAGGAGGGAGCTGCCGCCTCCTTCCTGGCAGGAGGACTGGGACAGTCACTGTAATGGGAGGGCAGGGAACAAAAGGAAGCAATGATCGCTGGGCTGATTTGTTACACCCAACAGAGCAGATTTACCTACTCAAGGGCAACGTTGTTTGGATCAAGGTCCTTTCCTGTTCCTTGGTTGACGACCTTCATGGAAAGAGACAGCTTCAACTTGTCATCTTTCATCTGTAAGAGACAGACATGGAGGGAAAAAAAACAAGTCATAGCAGAACCCGGTTACAGGGAAACCCACAAAGAATGAATGAAACTGCCAATTAGTAAAGAAGTGAATGCTCTAAAGTCAAGGATAAAATTAAAACGTTTTGTGATGTGACAAGTATATTTTAGTTTTATTTACATTTCAGTGTTCTAGTTAATGGACTGGAGTATATAACTTCAAAATAATTGTCTAAGAAATAAGATCATAAAAATCACCACAACGGATCAGATCATAGGTTACAACTCTGTAGAGGGGTCATTACAATAATGACATTAAAAAAAAAATTGGAAATATGACCTGCAAAGGATTTTAAAAGACTCTGCTTTTTTTTTTTTTTTTTTTTGCTTCTTTATAATGTATGCATAAAGTCTGAAAGGTCCCTGCACCCATTACCTAACCCTCAAAAAAAAAAGGGGGGGTTATTCTCTGTCAACTCTGGTTTTCCCTGATTTCTGAAAGATACGTAGCGGATTTAAGATGGCACATTGTTAGCACACACCCCTCAAAGAGACAGGATTGCTGAATCTTTAATAAAGACATGCTTTCTCCAAAATGTGAGTCATTCAAATTAAAGATGTGTTCGTTTTTTAAAGGAGTTTTTAGCAGTCCAACTAAATATCCCCTTCCCCACTGGCTTGGTCAGCTTTCACTCTCAGCTCTTGTGATGTTGTTGTAACAGAGATTGCAACAGAATGCAGTATCTTTGTGGACCATTGGATTAAATTTATGAATGGTTTATACATGATTGTGTTCTACTATATGAGGGAGGGTTATCACAGCTCCTCCAGGAAATAGAACATTGGGGGGTGATTAAGGCAAGTCTAAACCCCGGACTGGAGGGAGAGACATCCACCCAAGGTAAGTGATGGCTGTGAACCTGAAATCTTACGCGGGTGCACTCCAAGAAGGCCAAGCAGGGTTGGGGAGGTTAAAGGTACAGCTCACCCTGAAACTGAGACAGTCATCACTAACATTAACAATGGTACAGGTTCATTACTAGATGGAAATGGCAGAATTATTAAAAATAATGCAGAAAAGGTAGAAGCGTTCCATAAATGTTTCTGTTTGGTGTTTGGGGAAAACGGAGGACGTAATCTCATCACATCTTTACATTCTGCTAGTCTCTAAGGAGAGCGTCGAACAGCAGGCACTAAAATCAGTACGCTGATTGGTTTTTTCTTGTGATTTGTCTCAAGCTCTATTTGAATTGAATTTTTTTTTTAAATAACGCTAGCTTAACTGTGCCAGAAACCAAAATAAGATGATCAAACCATGTTTTACACTTAAAACTAATGATTAATTAAACCATGTAAATATTTTCTGTAGCTGGTGAATTTAACTCATTGTTTCTGCTCACTTCAAGATTTTAGAACTAGTAAATCTCATCCTCTCACACTAGTTTTTAATTCATAAATTGGAAGAGGAAGAGGAAAACAAGTTCACTGCTTTTGCGAGTCTCAACTGGTTTCTGAACTTTGAACGAACTAGTCCAGCGGTTCTCAAACTGTGGGTCGGGACCCCATTTTAATGGGATCACCAGGGCTGGCTTACACTTACTGGGGCCAGGGGTTGAAGCCCGAGCCCAAGCCCCACCATCTGAAGCTCAAGTTACAGGCACTCTACCTTGGTCCCCTTTCCTGGGGTCACGTAGCAATTTTTGCTGGCAGAAGGTGGTCGCGGAGCAATCAAGTTTGAGAACCCCTGAACTAGTCATTGAACTGAACTAGCCGAAATGAAAAAAATATTCTCTCTGCACTTGAAGAAAAGGCTACTACTTTCAAAAGCTGGTTTAGCACTTAATCTGGTTCCCGGTGCCTAGTCAGTAACTTCCACCAACTGGTCTGACTTTCTTTAAAACTCAGCAGCAAACATGTGCTGTTTAATATTTTTTTTTATATTTAAGTGATTTTAATAGATTATAAATTCAGGTGTTCATGTAGGTTGCCAATTTCAAATTTAATTTTGAATAGATTTAAATAAAAATTGGATTTTTTTAAAATAAAATTTATCCACCCTGCACACACATCCCCTCAGACCTTCTTTAGACACCACAAAGAAGCAAACGAGGGCACAAGCCCTATTGTTTTTTATTTTGCAAGTCATCTTTAAAAAAAGAACAAACTTTAGCAGTGTCCTTTCAAAGAAAGATCATTCCCTCAAATAGAGTTAAGAGAATTCTCAGCTTCTGCTAAGAATGGGTTTAGAGACCTTTCCATAGTGCGTAGTTTACATTTATATAGCATCTTGCTTTCCAATAAATCCTGAAGTACTTCACATGATATACAAACACCATAGAGGAGGGTGACATGCCAACCAGCAAACAATAGCCTGAACAATGGTGCAGGGGGGAGTCAAGATGACATGTGATCTTTGAAGCCCATGCAAACCAGACAAAAAGTTGGTTCTTAAATGCTCATGTGAGGAGGAACATGATTAGTTTGTGTTCACAACAAACAGCATCATGCACTAAACAAAGTGATTGGAACACTAAGCTTCCGTTAACATGAAAACCATTAGCTTGCTGTAGTTGCAAATTTTTTCTTAGTTTACACAGTGCTTAAGACACCATAAGCAATTTTACCTCTCTTCCAATAAGCTTCACCCATACTTTGTCTCCAACATCTACCATCTCCGAGGGTTTGTCCACCCGACAGGCTGACATGTGGGTTCTATGGACAAGGCCTAGAGGTAGTTTTGGGGAAAAAAATAAAATAAATTGTTTTTGCTTGAACATATCCTCTAGAAAATGAGAGCATCAAGTGCTGGAGTATCCTCAGGCGAAATGAAATACCTGGGTTACTCAATCACCACTTCATGCAGAATAAAGATTTATGAGGTTTATCGGTTTTTCAAAACCATTTATAAACCAAATGCAGCCAGCTAAAGCCACCAAAATCTGCTCCAAACTCACAATGGGGCAGCTCTTGCAAAATGAGACCCTGACAGCTAAAAAATACTTATATCATTCCAATCTCATAGAACTGGTGTAATTTCCCCCAAAGAGTTTGATCTTGCGAGTCTTTGTGCATAGCAAGGTGCATGCAAATTTAAGGTTCTGGTGCAGCAACAAGCTCTGTGCAGATGGGAAGCTTGCAGCCATGTGGTACGTACTGCAAGATTGGGCCAAAAGTCTCCATGACTTCAATGGAATGTAGACATCCATAAAGGCTGCAGGATTAGGTCCCTACTGTATAAAACCCAATGCTAATTACTTCTGACTACAAATCACTCTTGTGGGAAGGGTAAGATGGGAGGCTGCATATTTTAGATCTTAGAGTGCAGTTAGTAAGAAAAGTAAGAAAAACAATTCAAAGAAAGAGCACCTTCGCTGTCTGATAGGATGCTAATTTAAGAGGCACAAACAAGTTTTAATTCCTGCCAATCCTGTGGACCTAACAGAGCTGGGGGAGAACAAACAAGATGCTATTCTGTTTCGGGCGTTAGCAGCACATTTTTTAGCTGACAACACCAGAGGCAGAAAACATAACTTGACTTGAAGACTCTGGCTTGGCATTGCAGAACTAGCAGGTAGAAAAATAATCCTTTTAACTTGCACAAACTAGACATTTGTTGTGGGACTGTCCAAGCAAGATTAACTATTGAACCCATAGTGTCATTTTTCAGGGTATAACCACATCTCAAGGGAAAGCCCAGTCTTTTTTTCTTGTTTTTTTTTTTTTTAGTGTCACAGTTGACGCGGAAAACTTTCCACTTATTTTTGTCACGAGTAACCCCCCTAGTACCATTGCAACGCAGAGACTGGAGAAAAAGATATTTAATACTTTTTCAGTTTGTTTACCTTGTGCATTTGACATTTCCTGTACAGTTTAACTATTTCCCTTGTATACTCAGATTCACCTGTTAGTGCAAGTCTTTCACACAACTGATAGGAAAAACATGAAAAATAACCAAGAAAGCCTGGACTGTGCGGCAGTCAATGATTTACCATTATGATTTTCCTTCCATCTATGAATTCTATTTCATAGGAGAAATTAAGCATTCCGGGCCCTGAATCTGTAGGGAATTACTGCACTCCAGTCTAGTGCCTTATAATGCCACTCCAACATAGCCTATAATCACCTGGAAACACACTTATTCTCATTTACAGAAAAAATGTTAAATGAATATATTCAGTGTTAATGCAAGCATTTATATAGCCCCATCATTGTATCTGGAGCCCTTACATAGCATAAATGGGGACATTCAAGACCTCAGTAAAAAACCAAACCCCAAACTGGGGGGATTTAATCAACTCGGGAGAGGTAGGCAACAGACTCATTTTGCAGCATTTTCTAAGATGTCAAGTCCTTCTCCAAGAGGAGGATTTTATGATTTAACCAAACCAGCACGAAACTAAGTCTGAAAATCTAGTCTTAGAAACAAACCTTGTTTCCTGCAGCCTGGAATTTTTATAAATGCCCCATATTCTGTTACAGCAGCAACCTGTGAAGAAAATCAATATATCCATTGATTGAAAGAGAATCTTGTACATTACACCCATTTTCTGTCTCATTTTCTCCTTCCCTTCAACCCACTCTCTTTAAATGCACGTATTTGGTTTCAGCTGTTTCTAATTTGCCTTCTATGAGTCTGCTTCAGGTTATCTGCTTTTGAACTGGGGAACTACATAACAAACAGTGTTGCATCAGATACACACAAAAGCACAGGATGATTATTTTCTGCCCTGCGAGATTACAGACAGATCTTGAAAAATTATGTTTTTCAAAGAGAGTCTATTTGCTATATTCAGCAGCAGGAACCAATATTTTTAACTTCTGTTTTCCGCTATTTTACCATTTGAGTAAATTTAGTGCTGAGAGACCAGACTGACAGGCTTGGAAACAGTCTTATGCTTATCTATGGAACAGACAATGGACAGGCAACAAAAACTTCCCTAAATCTTCAAACTAGCGTGCCTCTGAAGGGACTCACCCTAACATTAACGGGGAATTAACCCTTCCCTCCATGCTCTATTCTATCCTAGGCCTCTCTAATGAGACTGCCCAAAAGGCCAGTCAGTGCCAATTGTGGCAGTGGTGGTTTTGAAATGGATACTTGTCCACTAGTACCTGCACTGAGACCCACCAACTAATTTCACATAGTTATTACAAACAAGCATCTGATGGTAATGACTTTCGCTCACTGCTGACTATGGCCCCAATTATTCAATAAACCCTGTGCAAATAGACACCTGAGCCTGCACTGAACTTCACTGAAGTTAATTAGTCGCTGCATGGATCCATCCATGCGGAGCTTTATTATGGAATCAGGGCGTGATGTTGGAGTTGAACCAATCTAGACTTGAGAGGCTCTTTAACTCATTCTCAGTCCCCTGACACCTATAATTCTAGCCTTTGTCCTCTTAACATTCTTAAGGGGGAAAATAGTACCCAGGGCTCTTTTGATTATAACAAGGCAGACAGGATCTCACTTCCCTTTTTAACTAGAAGAATGGGAAACTAAGGGCACTATACATTTTAATGTTAAGTTCAGGCACCAATAAGTGGCAGGAGCCCCAGGTATTGCAATTCAGGTCTTCTAGTTGTGCCAGATTGAGCAACAAATATTCCTGATAGCAGCTATTAAACTCAAGACAGTTTCCAATTTTTAAAAGCTAAAGTCTCTTGTATTTCACAGCATGAGGCAGGATGGAAAGCTTTATCCCCAAGCTCCACATGACACCAAAATTAAAGCAATAAGATTTTCAGATCCCTCACACTTGAGTTGAAAAATTAGACTGGGCTGAGAGAAATAATCAGCATGAATTCTCTGAAGACAGCTTTTCTCATCCTACAAGAAGACTAGCATGTTTATGAATACACATTCTTAGCTAATCCTCTTAAATTAGTAGTTATTACTCTTCAGAATGGAGGTGTTTGCATTAGCAATGTGGCTCACCCATCAGTTTTATTTTAAAGACATCTAATGAAATAACACCTGCAATAAGAGTCTCAACCAGTTCTCAAAACACTAGTTACGATATTTACAAAAAAGTGTGTTAAATATTTTTCTTTAATCTGAGAATGCTGGTACAAGGCAGCTGCTCAAGAGACTGAAGTCCTCTTCTCATCCCTATCAATGTGCATCAACTCTAACCTAAAGGGGGAGAGGGGAATTCTCTCTCTATATAGCCTATGTACTCAGTCTCTATAATGGGAATGCCAGCAAGGGGTCAGTCAGAGGCAGCTGTGGTGGTAGTGGCTTTTTGTGATGTAGACACTTGTTCTCTATGAACCAGAGTACACAATAGCAGCTCATTTCACACAGGTCACTTAGCTTTGTTGCAAGTAATTAGGGCTGGTGATTTCAAAATGAAAGGCTCTAATCCTCTCTCAATGTCCTGCACTATTCATGTCTCCCATACTTTTTTGTGACCCTAAGCAATGACAATACATACCTCTCCTTGGAAGACGTCATAGAGTTCAGGCAATGGCTCCATTGTCTCAGGTCTCATAGACTTCATTTGGGAAGTTTTCTAAGAGCATGCACTCCACAATTCTTTCCTAACCTTGCAGCTTACTTTGATTCCATTTATGAGATGTTATCCCTCTGTGGAGCAACCCTATTCATAACTGAAATGAAGACAGACACCACTTGTTGAAAGAAATATCTTCATTGGTAATAAAAAACCTCCCTGAAAGGCTTCCTCAAGAGCTTTTTTTTTTTTTTTTTTTTTTTAAACCTGCCCCGCTTTCACTCATACTACAGTCACAGTAAATTCTGAATATCCATTACTATAGTGTCTGGTGTTCACGCTATATATTATGGCAGTACAATCCAGTGGGTAGACAAGCCAAAGAACCAGAAGACCTAGGTTCTTCTATGATACAGCTGCCAATAGAATGCTGTGTAATCATAAGAAAGTCACAAGTTTGTGCCTCAGTTTCCCCCCTCTATAAAAGTGTGATATGATACCCTCCTTTGGAAAGCTCTTTGAGGTGTATGTATGAAGAGGACCACATAAATACTAAGTATAGTAGTACCTAGGCAGATACAGCAAAATACGTACCCATGACTGTAAATTGGCTCTGATAATACCGTGCCAGTTTTGCCCCATTTTCAGAATTCAGCCCCCTCATACATACGTATTTTATTTCAGCGACTGTATTTAGGGTGATTATAATCGGTTCCCTTCACTACTACCTACAGACACACGCCTAAAAACCTGAACGTAAACAAAAAGACCCCGCAATGCCTTGTCTAAGCCGTCCCCCTTTAAAAGGCCGAGGGCCTGGCTAGAGCTTTCTGAACGCTCGGCTGAGCCAGAGAGCGGCGCTGCGCCACGGGGCGCGCTCTCACCCAGACAAGGAGACGCGGCAGCATCTCCAGTACTGCCAGCCCGTCCCCAGCCGTCACAAAACGAGGAGTCCCGAGGCCCCAAATCATTAGAACGGCTGGAAAACCCCCTCGCCCGTTCAGAACGGAACACCGCGTTGGGGATTCTTTTCCTTTGTCCCCCTTTCGCTTGCCCTCGGGGCACGTGTCCAGGCGCCTCCCTGGCTCCACGGGCTGGGCTGAGAGGGAAACGCGCTGACACAAACAGGGCGAGAGTTGGCCGCACCGCCCCCTCTTCGATACCGCCCGGCGCCCATCGCGAGCGCTTACGGCGGGGCCAGCTGGGTCTGTACAGCGCCGAGCACACGGGCCGTAACCGGGGACGGCAGGTGCCCCGCAGCCCGAGCGGGCAGCATGCTGGAGGGGGGGGGCAGCGCCCCGGGCCGCAGCCAGGGGATGGGGGGTGACGAGCTGCCCCCACTGCCTCAGCTCCCCACTGCCTCCCCGGCCATGGAGCCCCCGGCCAGCCCCGCTGCCCCCTCACCTCAGGGCGCCTCTGTCGCCGCTCTCCCGCCCGCGCCCCGGTACAACCTAGCCTGAGGAACCCCGCACCCGCCAATCACCACGCAGCATGCTCCTGAGCGTCACCCGCGCAGCTAATGGGCGCGCTCGATGCTAGAACTCCCTCCGCGAATCCGCTTCCGAGCCTGGCCAGCTCTACCCAATCCGCGCACTGAAAAGAAGGGGGTGGCGCGGTTGGTGCTCGCAACCAATCAGAGCGGGGAAACTGGGCCGTTCTGTCCAATGGGTGGAGGACGGGGGCGGTGCTTGGCTGCCCCGGTGTCAAACCTCTGAGGCCTAGCGCGGGTCGGAGCCCCGAGGCCGAGTAGCTGCGGCAGGGAGCGGCGATGATCGAGCAGCAGAAGCGCAAGGGGCCGGGCCCGGAGCTGGCGCTGGTGGCGGCGGCGGCGGCCAAGCGGCCCCGGCACGAGCTGCTGCTGGGGCCCGGCCCGGGCGGGGGGCAGCCGCCTCCGGGGGCCCTGCTGCAGGCGGTGAGTCCCGGCCCCAGGGTCCCTGCTCCCCCCGCCGCCCCCCGGGCTCTCCCTGTGTGCCCCCGCCAACAGCCCTCGGGGGCGGGGGGGGTCACTCAGCGCCAAGCCTGGCCCCGGGTTCCCAATGCCGGGATGGGCCGCTCCATGCCCCCGACCCCGTGTCAGTGCCCCGCAGCGGCCCCAGCTACTTCCCTTTCTCCCTCTGGGCCTTCCCATACACCCTGAGCGAGGGGGTGGCGGACTTGAACCCCTCACAAGAGAGCCCTTGGGGCAGGGGAGCAGTTACCCAGCACCATTCTCTGCACTCCTGTTATAATATGGTTTAGCTTCTTTGTCTAGTTCCGACGGTTGTAATATCTATACTGACACCAACTTGCGAGGTGGCTTTAGACAAGTTATTTCACCGCACCGTGCCTCGGTTTCCACATCTGTAAAATGGGAACAGTACTTACCTCCCCCTAGCGGAGTTGGGAGGTTTGATATGTGCTTTGAGATTCTTTGGTAAATGGGGACAGAGAAGTGGAAATGTTAGCTTAGTAAAACCAGTAAGGGAGTTATGATTTTTTTTCTGTCCGACTTCCCCACACCACAAACACTCTGGTTCATGTGTTTCATTATCTCTCTCTGCATCTCCTTTGTGTTTTAGGGCCCTCCACGATGTTCCTCCCTCCAGGCACCCATAATGCTGCTCTCGGGACACGAAGGAGAAGTTTACTGTTGCAAATTTCATCCTAATGGAGCCACTTTAGCATCTGCCGGATTTGACAGACTCATCTGTGAGTTTGTAATGATCGGTAGTTTGATATGAGCTAATTTTCTGACAAAATCCAGTGCTGCTGTAAACTGCTTTCTATGCATTCAAATGGCTATGGAGTGAGTTGTTGTGAGCACAGAATGCTGATAGCTTGGCATTGACCTTTTATGTACTTCTAAGAGTATTTCAAAGTGTTGGTGACCTAAAATCATCTGGGACCCACTCATGAGAGAGCCTGTCTCTCACCTTCTACCCCACCACATCAGTCAGTATTGGAGGGATTGTTCTTGCTCTCATTTTCTGAAGTGGAACTTAGCAACATTAACAACAGAATTATTATTGAACTCAGTCTCTTTGGCAGTCTCCCAGAGCCCACACTGCGCATCTTTCAGTCAGGAGGACTGGCACATTTATTTGATTTAGAACAGGGGTTCTCAAACTGGGGGTCAGGACCCCTGAGGGGGTCACAAGGTTATTACATGGGGGGTCGTGAGCTGTCGGCCTCCACCCCAAATCCCGCTTTACCTCCAGCATTTATAATGGTGTTAAATATATTAAAAAGTGTTTTAATGTATAAGGTGGGTCACACTCAGCGGCTTGCTATGTGAAAGGGGTCACCAGTACAAAAGTCTGAGAACCCCTGATTTAGAACTTGTCTACACTGGAAAATTACACAAGTTAAATTTAAATCTGTTTTTTAAATTGATTACTTAGACTGGTGCAAAGCCAGTGTAGATGCTCTTATTTTGCTTTAAAAGTGGTTCATTTCAATTTAACTTAATCTTGTTCTTAGTCGAATTAAACTAAACCAGAAGAAGCCATTCTTATACTGAAGAGTCTTTACTGAGGAATTTGCATCAGTTTAACTATATCAGTTTAAATCAGCGGTTCTCAAACTCTTGTATTGGGGACCTCTTTCACACAGCAAGCCTCTGAGTGCAACCCTCCTCCCCCTTATAAATTAAAACTCTTTTTTATATTTAACACTATTATAAATGCTGGAGGTGAAGTGGCGTTTGGGAGTGGAGGCTGACAGCTAGCGACCCCCAGTTTGAAAACTCCTGGTTTAAATTCACACGTAGGGTTATACCAGTGCAACTTTTCCATGTAAGGCTGTGACTTTATAGGACAGGGATCAGCAACCTTTGGCCGGAAGGATGGGCAGCACATCCCCCGGCCCGCGCCGCTTCCTGCAGCCCCCATTGGCCTGGGACGGCGAACTGCAGCCAGTGGGAGCTGCGATCGGCCGAACCTGCAGACGCAGCAGGTAAACAAACCGGCCCGGCCTGCCAGGGGTTTACCCTGATGGGCCGCGTGCCAAAGGTTGCCGATCCCTGTTATAGGATTATGCCTTACGCTAACTCTTGTGAGTAGCAGCATAGTACTGTTATGGTTTTTTTTTTTTTTTTACTGTTGTTTTTAACATGCAATTAAATCCATATTCATACAAACAGGAATATAAAGTGATGGGAAATCCTTCTACATAAGGAAAGATTGATCTGGGGCTCCTTTCACATCCCCTCATATTTGTCACCTCTCTAAATTAAGAAGTATACAGAATAAAGGGTATAGGAAAGTTGAAACAGAGGCTTCTATTTACACTTATAATACAGGAGCCAACATGACACTCAAAAGTGATGAAAGGAAATGCTTTTCTACACAATGGATAATTAACCTGTGGAACTCACTGCAACAACATGCCATTGAGCCTAGTAGGATTCTAGAAAAGATTTTATATTTATATGGAAGTCATCCACGTTTACGTTAGATAGAACACATATTTATAAGGGAAATAAACCTTCCTGCTTCTGGGCATGAGGCAACCACTCATTGATGGGGAAAATTTTCTCAAATCCACTATGGGCAGACTGTTCCTTAATTGGCCACTACAGAGTTTCTTCCACCTTCCTCTGAAGAATCTGATACTATCCTGGGTCATTATCACAATTTCCATGTTCTTAACTGCCACTTACAGGTGGCCAAAAAAGCTAACTTTACCATACCATTCATAAACATACGAATGTCCAAAATAGAAAAATATTAAGACTTGGAGAGGCAGTGGAGGTATTTACTAAAATGTGCTTCCCTTATCCAGCTTGGTTTAAGAACATACACAAACCAATATTTAAGGTATATTTCAAATTTCAGCCATCTCTCTCACATGGGACTTGCATTGACCATTTAAAGGCTTCCTATTCCACATAGTAAATACTTGGGTTTGGAGATGGTGCTGAATCCTATAGGTGCTTTATTTTAGTGAGCTCAGGAAATGACACTATAGTTACTTGGACAAATTGGTATTAAAACATAGTTTTGGGGTTGTTTGGTTTATTTTTTACAGTGCTGTGGCACGTGTATGGGGATTGTGATAATTTTGCCACCCTGAAGGGACACAGTGGAGCGGTTATGGAGTTGCACTATAACACTGATGGCAGGTAAATATCAGATGAAACTGACTTGACCTAGCATTAGCCTGCCTTGCTGCTGTTTCTGAATGAACTCTGCAAAATGTTTTGGGAGATAATTTGCATGAAAGAAGCTGCTAAATGAAGGTCATGTTGTTTAGGTCTTGGGTAGAGATAGTAAAAGATCTTGGGTAGAAGATACTTGTAGTTGGCAAGGGGGATACTTGCTGCTGGTGAATGTAAGCTGCTCTCCAGCTCCTCTTCAGAGTCACCAGCCAAGAGGAGAAGCAATGGTGTTACTTGAATAGTTGCCCCTCCCCAAAATATCTCAACATATTACATCGGTTCTAGAGAGCAGGAGCAAAGAGTAAAGTCAACGTGACAAGTTCCAAGGCCCATGGATGGGGAGCAGAAGATCTAAAGCCTAGGCATTCTGTCCCATCCCTAGCAAGCAAATCTGTGAGAAAGTGGATGGGGGACTTTCAGTGTGAAAGAGAGAATGGGGAGAGATTCGAGATAAGGAAAGAAAGATGGGGAAGGAGAAGTTGACTGGTAGGGACAGCTTCCCAAATTATCCAACACTATCTGAGGTTTTTACAAAAGATATCCCTCCCCCATCACCATCATCCCAAGCAACGTCAAGGAGATGAAATCTGGCAGGAAGCCAGCAGACACCCCTCCAGTAATTGGATTGCAAGATATATTGAAAATGGGCTTTTCACCATCATGCTACCCCTTGGTCCTGCTACAAAACCTCGAGCCATCTTTTGATATCAGCCTCTGAGTATTGGGCTTAGTCTTCTAGCTAGCGTCTGCTTAATTTTCTAACCCCTAGTCTTGGCTGTGTTTGTAGAGTAACAAAAGGGGTTGGGGCAGATATTTTATCACCCTTCAAGATTCCATAGCTGTGTCGTCTTTTTTCCCCCCAACCAGCATGCTCTTCTCAGCATCCACAGATAAAACGGTAGCTGTGTGGGATAGTGAGACTGGAGAAAGAGTGAAAAGGCTGAAGGGGCACACATCATTTGTTAACTCCTGTTATCCAGCGAGGCGGGGACCCCAGCTCGTCTGTACAGGCAGCGATGATGGAACAGTAAAGGTCAGTATTTCTGTATGGGCTGACTTTTGCAGTGATGGAGAATCTACGAACACTAGATGACCCATCTGAATAAAGGACATTAAGCTTTGGTGACCTTTGCAAAAATAACTAATTGAATAAACCACTTGAGTAAAACTTTGTTCATCTGAGACCACTTCATCCAGAATTGCCTCTGAACCAAATCCCAGCCTGAGTCACTTACCCATTAACTTCCTCATATATGCTGGCCTTGAAATGTTTTAGATAAACAGGACTAGATTGGTAAAACTAAAATCAAAATCCTAGAAAAGAACATGAGAC